TAAGTGAACAATAAATGGTTTCTTCGTATATTTCTTTGGTTTTTTTTCTGATGAGTTGCGAGAGTATTTATCTTCAGCATTGTGGAATATTTTAACGACTAAAGTGAATAAAATAAAAAACACACACATACACATATGTACACTAGTACATAAATAAGGCTTAATAACATTTTTTTCGTGAACTCTAAAATACCATTCAATAATATTTATTTGTAAGAAAAATGTATCTGAAAATGAATTGTAAGTATTTACTAAATTTTTTGCTAAGTGTATGCGTGTAACACCTATTCAAATACATTTTTCCGCCCTTCTGCAGTTGAGACACTGCCTTTGCACTATTTTTGAATGAAGTAAGTAATAAAATCAGCAATTAAAAAATATTCTAAAATAACGTTTTTTTTTTTGTTTTAAACAGTTTGCTAGAAGATGCTTTTTTTTCTATATAATGGACGCTAAATATATTAGGTATATAGAAAACTATTTAAACAACGGTTTCAATGGTTTGACAAAAGGGGCACTAAAATAGTTTTCTTACCAAACTATCCAGTAAAATATTTCAAAGTATAAGTGTTGTAAGTGGTGCTTTGAACGGTATTTGAATCTTCCGTTTTTTAATCCCTTATGTGCTAAGAGAAGCAGGAAGCTATTCGGCTCGGATTTCTCTAATTTCTACTTCGGTTGAGTGTCTGCCAAAATTTGTTGGAATAAGAATACCGTGGAAGTACCAAAACTGGCCCTAGCTGAGTCTACGTAACCGGAATGACCCAGACGTACATTTGGCCAAGCACTGTCACTTCAACAACAGGCCCAAAAACTGATTGGGGAATTTTTTATACTACTGGCCAGAGTTAAAATTGAAGGCATCATCATCATGAGATCAGCGTTAGGAGGTCAATTCATTGAAATTCTATAATCGCTTTTTACTATTGGATTGCAAAGTTAGAATGCACATCAGTAATGACAGTCCCAGACGGATTCTAATATGAGTAACAAGTTTGTGTGAAAATTGCAGATGGAGGGTATTGAATAAAGGCCCTGTAAATGTATATTTCTTACCAGTACGGTAGTTATAGCCATTATCTGACGAAAAATATAGTATGTACAGTAATGTGCGCTCTTTAAGTGGCCCATCTATGGATATTTTAAGGTCAAAAACTCAACGAGCATTGAGAGACTTGAATTACGCTTAAAATTATATCTTATAACCATTTTCATGACATTCATAAAACTACCAAAGGGAATAAACTCTACCAAAAAGGGCAACACTGAATTTTGAAAGATATGTCAAAAATATTATTTTTTAGCATACAGAACTACATATTTTTTTGCCTATATATATGTATGTACCTTTATAGACTCTACATTAGGATTGTAAGGCGTTCACGAACACAACAACCAAAACCAGAAGGAACAAAGCCGCAAAGGCGAGTGGCAACTGGCGAAGCTCTTTGGTCTCAGCCCAACCAGACAAACGGTTGTAATGTCAATTAAGAAAAAGAAGTAGAATTGTGGGAATCGCTAGTGAAATCGCTTATGCCTTATGGTATGCAACGACACTGGAGGAAAATAGCCTATTTTCGTGCATCAAATTTCGTATTGCGCTTCTTAAACTTTCATGTTTTCTTTTTAGTCTTGAATTTAGAGCTCTTTGGCCATCAGAACACATTTACAAACATCGGATATTTCCTTTTTATTGACCAATTTTATCGCTCATCGTTCAACAAAACCCACAAAAATCAGAGTAGGTAGCTTTGTGCAAAATTTTTCAAATTTTCATTACCCTTTTTGTGTTTTTTATTACATATTAGCAAATACCCGGCGTGCTTCACTGTGCCTTAAAAGTGTTGCTGTCTTTTTTGGTACCCGTGTTTTAATATTTCATTTATTTTACGAATGTAATTAAATAAAACTTTTCAAACAGATGGCAACCCTCCTCAAAAATATTTTCGGAAGTAAGCTTTCCGGAACACTTCAGTTTGTTAGCCATATTGCAATAATTAATTAATTTTTCTTATCAATTAAATTGTATTAAAATTTTCAAACATGTGGCAACCTCCATAAGAATATTTTCATCTGTAAGCCTTCTTAAACCTCTTTCATTTGACAGCCATATTGCAATATTTACTTTATCTTATCAATTTGCTTAAATTGAAATTTTCAAACAGGTGGCAACTCTTTATTTTTTTCTTTCTATATTTTAAGTTTGACCTCCAGTAATACATCAAGTGATGCATCTACAAACATACAGACAGACAGACGGACAGACAGAAAAAAATTCTAAAAATTGTTCATTTGGCTTCTATTGCTCTAATTAAGACCCTCTATATTAATTTTTCTTTAATATCTTTAATGTACAGACATCGGCCTGATACTATTTTGTTATATGTATGCATAGATAAGTGATTTGGGTATGCAGGTTAGTAGTTTATTGAATTTTGGTAAATAAAATACGAGTTTATTAGCAACATCTTCAACGAAAAAAAAAAAAAATCAAAAATCAACGGTAAGTCCTAGCGACCTCAAACTTAGCCGATATTTACCAAAATTTAATAAGCTACAAAACTGTATACCCAAAATAAATCAAAAATATGTAATAAAAAACATAACAGTTTTATGAAAATTTGCAGAATTTTCTTAATTTTTGCACAAAGTTTGCAACTCTGATTTTTGAGTTTTTTGTTGAAGTCTATATAATTTTTTTTCCCATACAAAGGGCAGTGTAGAAACAATATTTGTATAGTCTTCATTACAAAAGGCTCTGATTGACACTTTTAAGATTAAAAAAAAGTGACGATTTAAACAAATAATTTTAGTGAAAATTGCCACTTAAAACTTTATAGGGTGATAACGACCGTAGGGTGCTATTTCCAATTTGTTATTGATCGAGCACAGTTGGCATGAAAATCGAGTAATTTTACTCACTGTACTAATTACCGTCATTGCGACAGTCGTGTCGAAGGCAAGTCGTTTTTCGATAGTCGAATCGTATCGAAAATTTCACGTCGTGGCCTAAAATTTCCACTCGTAAAATTTTGCCTAATTTACGATTTACGAAATGAGGCTGAATATTTATTTCTTGCTTTCAGTTTTGCGAAGCACAGTGTAGCCAAACTGTTAAAAGAACTGCTTACATATAAATTTAACCAAAGACAAAGCTGGCTTCTAAATATGTATTTGTATAAACAAATCCTAAACTAAATGTGTCTACATACATTTCGCTAACAATTTATTTAAATATTTTGTTAATAACAAAACTAAGTAATACCTGCTGTTTATGTAATTAGTATACTAGCTTCTGCTTCTACATATAAATACAATTACGTTTATAAGTACATATGTATTTATGCATTAACTATTGGCAAATGAATATTTCACTGAAGGTACTTGGCTATTAAATTTTAAAACAACAATTGACTGTAGCAGTTGTTTTTTTTTTTTTGGTTTTCTTTCTTACTAAATGTTATAATGCTTTTCATTCGTATTTATTGCATTTTCGTTAGTTGTTTTGCGGCTTTTCGGCTTTTACTACGATCAGCGTTTTTGTTTTTTTTTCAGTTGTTTTTTTTTTTAGTACACGCACTGTATGTATCGATGTGTGTACAAGTAAATTTATAGTTGTTTGTATGTATTTTAAGTGTGAATATCTATATTTAAGCACATTTGTTGAAGTACATTTATGTGATTTTTAACACACCCAAAACTACAGTTGTGTGCAAAACAAAAATTTAATTTTTCTTTTGTATAGAAGGCATACATTTTTTTCAAAATTTTGTAATAAAAAATACAACAAAAAGAGCAATGAAAATAAATTTGCTGGCGGTCTTCGCATGTCACTGTAGTTGTGTGCATAATTTACTAATATAAATATATGTGAGTATATTAGGGTAGTCCTCAAAATATCAACATCATGGGGTGCCCCTTTATTTGGTTCTTCGTACAAAATAAAAGCACCCAGAAAATGTAAACAAAATTTAAGAATTTTTTCAGTTGTAGGCATTGTTCTGAAAAAAAATTAAATTCCTTTTTTAAATCGCGAAAATTTAACAAAATTTTGACTTTGCCCAGCTATAAATCAAAGAGGTTATGAATTTATATAAATAAGTCAGTTTCAATATGGCAGATTATAACTGGTCAAAGTCAAGACTTTGCCGAATTTTTGAGAATTTTTTTTTTTTAATAAATTTTTTCGAACCCTGGTAGCGACACCAAAATTTTTTTTACAATTTTAAAGTCTTCTGGGAGGTTTTTATTTTGCACGTAGAACAAAATAAATTGGTACCTCATACAAACTTAATATATAGATATTTTAGGGCCACCCTAAAGTAGTTATACGCAAATTAATAAAATACAAAGGTAATGAGTACTTTTTAACTTACTTAGATTAAGTTGCAACATTTTCCCTAATTATAGTTCAATTAAAGTGGAGTTGTATATATTAATACGTAAGTATATCTATGCAGGTTTTACATATATGTATGTATGAGTATTAGCTTGTGTTTCGGGTATCTGGATATTGCAATGAAGCACAGTCAAGTTGCAGCGTTCACACAATTTCGAAAAAGAAATCGTCATACAATTTTGCTCCATTCTTGAAAATACGAGTATGGCATTAACAATTTTTAAATGCCATTCCATTTTTAAGTACTTCTGTGAGATTTCTTAATATGAATATCGATTTTATGTATGTGCTATGAAGCATTTTAGTTACTAGAAGCCTTTGGTTGGTAGAGTTGCCAACATACATGCTAATTTTTGGGGGAGACAAAATTTCTTTCAAGACTCTTAGTTGGCAAAGCTTTTCATTTACAAATGCAAAAATTCACCACCAAATGCCTTCACAAATTTTTTTACGTTCAATTTTGTTACAAACTGTATATATGTAGGTAGGTATGTATGTACAACAAGTACTTTTTTTTATTTTTTTTTTTCAATCATTTCGCAACTTTCTTTTCAGTTGCAGCTCAACTTTTCGCATTGCATATCCGCTTTTAATATTCTTTTCCCACTGTGCATTTTCATTGCTGTATTTTATGAGTACTATGTTTGTATTTAAATGCAACTGCTCATTCAATCTGTTCACTTTTATTTATTTGCTGCGTTTATGCATTTGACTCTTTTAGATTCTGCAATCGTGCCAATTGATTTGAGTCCAATTCCTCAGGTATGCTTGCACGTCCGCCCACCACCTGCTTGGGTGTTTGTACATCATCAGCGCTTAGCTCGGCATTGATATCTGCTGATTGTGCACCGCCGGAGAAAGCATCATCGAAGTTGGCATCGAAATGTGCTTCGAAATTCGCCTCGAATCCGTCGCCAGCATCACCGCTGCCCTTCTCATTGAATGGATCTTCGGCTTCCTGCAGAGTTTTTACCTCGGAGTCGGGATCCTGATCGGATGAGTGTGTGTCGTCTGCAAAGGTATTCGAAATTTTAAAACCAAGTTCTTATCCCAAATATTACTAGTATAAATAATCATTTTCATTACACACCAATATTTATTTTTAATTGAACTACTGAGTAAAACATAAAAGCCATTTTGAGGCAATTCATGTCAAATCGATCAATGTTTGCAATTGGCCATTTTCGATTTGGATGAATTTTGGTCAGAACTTTTGTTTATCAAAGAACAAAAATCTGCCAAAGGAAAAGAAAAATATTTCAAAACTTCAAAATTTCCAAGATTTGGCAATTTTATTTTTAGAATGTCTCAAAAACTGTTTTAGTTACAAAAATGGTTCCGGCCTAATTTTAGAGTTGACCTTAATAAAAAAATAAATAATATCGAGCCCTAACCGCCAAAATAACGTAAGCGACAATTTTTTCAAAACTTTATTTTTGATGCAGAAATGCATCTATGTAGATGCTCTAAGAATATTTCTGCATCAAAAATAAAATTTTGAAAAATTGTCGCTTACGTTATTTTGGCGGTTAGGGCTCGGTATTTAAAAAAATTCGAGATGTAAAAAAAATATAGATTTAAAATACGTAAAATCAAAAACTTACCTATATAAAGATTTTAGCTCTTTTTTTTTGTACAATGCCTCTAACTGATCTTAAAAGAAGCCTTAATTTTCATGAAGGTATTTTTTAAGACATGAATTTTTGAAAAAAAAGTTATTGTTATAAACTTTAAATTAAATATAAATCTAAGAATTTCAACGTAATTTTATTTAGAGATTGCAAAAAAATTTCAAAGTTCAAAAAGTTGTATCCAAAACAGCATCTTCTTGAAATATTCAGAATCTTTTAAGATAAGTTGAAGGTATTTTATAAAAAATTTAGCAAAAATTCGATTTTGTCAGTTTTCGCACTTATGATTTTTTTTTTCAATTTCAAAATTGTTTCAAAATTTTTTTATTTAGATTTTTTTTTTTTTGTATTTTTTTCTTTATAGCCCTTAATACGATAACCGTTTTTGTAACTATAATAGATACATAAATTTTGAAATTTAAAAACAGAACACTTGCAAAATCCCGGAAGTTGTGGAATTTAGAATTTTGCAAGAACTTTCAAAAAAAAATGTTTTCCTTTGCCAGAACTTCGTTATAGGATAAAATAAAAGTTTTGACCAAAATTCAACCAAATCAAAAATCTGGTCGATTCCAACCATTGGTTGGTCGGTTTGAAATGGATTGACCCATTTACATAAACCAATGCTTTCTCCTAATTGTCTCATTGCAACACCTTCCATGTAAAAGAGCTCCCCTTCTCCCAATTTACCTTCATGATTCTCATTTTCATCGGCCGCTGCTGCTGGTGCCACTGATTTGGGTTCCACTTTTTTCTGCTTTACAACCTTGTCGTTGCCGCCGCTGGCAGTTTTCGCTGTTGCTGCAGCTTCAGCTGTACTGCCGCCATCACTCTCTCCTACCGGAGGGAAAGATTTATCTGTGCCGTCTTCAACCATTGGGGTTGCGGCAGTAACAACTATTTGTGCCATACCTAAATTTAGTGAATTACCTTCCTTGCTGGTGCCGACATTTAAAGCCGGTGGCGGCAGCGATGGTGGCGGATTACCATCGTCGCTGATATCGTCCTTAAATTGAGTAGAAAGAAGGAAGGTATGTATGTTTAAGATATCAAAACAAAAAAAATTTATTTCTAAATCGCTCTATGGAAACCCTAAAGCAAATACGCTAGCAAAAAATTACCTCCATTCCAGGCTCATGTATGAGTACTGAATGCATTAAATTAGAAAAAAGGGCAAAGTGTTAACAAATTTCAATAGAAATTCATATTTTATGTGATAAATATATGTAGTTTAATTATCCGCTTATTAAGAAAAATTGTAGGAGAAAAAATTAACAGCTGTGGAACATACATACATAGATACTAAAACACTACTTTTATAACTATATGTACATTAGTGCGAACCGGTATAGGAAATTTCAAGGATATTTCTTTTGTTCATATAAGTAACAGGCTCATAAATATATAATTAACTTGTTTGAAATACACTAATAACTATCTTGCTCTGTGTTTTATTATGTGTAAAATTTAAATACTACAACGGGTCGCTTTGTTTACTGGTAGAATGTAAAACAGAAATACTTAACATTTAGATAAATAAAACATGCTTTTAAATTTATTTGGAATAATTTGGTTATGCTTAAAAGTGTATTGTTTGCTGTAATTTTTTAATCGTTTCCCAAATTTTTTTTTTATATTTTTTGAAAAATCTATTTTATAATTTTGTCTCACAAACTCTTTAGAAAAATTTAATCAATACTAACTAACTACCTACATATGTATAAAGTGTATGTGCTTGGTGAAAAGTAAAATTGTTCCCGCGATAAAGGAAAACTACCAAAAATTTTAAAATACTGAGGAAACTTTCAAATAAAAGCACCTGCCTGGCCGCTTTGATGCAGAACATTATGGTCAAGGTTTAAAAGAAACTTGCTAAAAATTTCATAAAAATGTGGAAATCTGCAGCAAGAAATCATATTTGTATTATCGCGGAGAGCAGGAGACAGGAGACGTCAGGCTTTTTTTAAAAGGACTTCGAATTTTAAAAAATATCGTTGTTTCAAAAAATTATTCAAAAATTTCAGTGCAATGTAGGATAACAATAAGGGTATCATATAAAAAAAAAGTCTGTAAAATTATAACAGAATTAATTTTTTTTGGTGCGTAAGGACGAATGGATATGGAAAATGTTCCTTACAAATTTTGTCCTTAAATATCCCAGAAAATTTTAAATATTTTTTGAGGACTAAAATACGCACGACCTCATAATCAAATTTCGTCCTGTAAACTTTATTAACTTAAATAGATAAAATTGTAAGTTAATTAGGAAACTTGGAAGTCCAGAAAAAAATATGATATTTCAGCAAAAGCTTCGAGGTGTACGAAAATTTTTAGATAATAATTTCCGCGCTTTTTCAAGCTTAAACTTTTTTGCTTAATGTGGTTTATAGGGCAGTTCTGGATAAGATAGCTAGTTGAAAGTCTATTGTAAAACAATTGAAAGACAGTAGGCACGATAGTTTGACAATTTTTTTTTTATTCTGCCACGAAAACCTTACAAAAGAAACTCCCTTGTCAACTTTCATGGTGAAACGCTCTTTTGACGCATTGGCCGAGTGAGCAAAGCACTGCCGTGGCATTCGAGAGATCCGAGCTTCAAGTCCTTGGGCAACGGATTTTGCTCTCTTTTTTAACCGACTTCCAAAAAAGGAGAAGGTTATCAATTTGTCGGAATATATTTGTTTTTAAATATGTATATGTTACCCCATAACTTTGGACCACGTCAGCCGATTTCACAGGTGGTTCCGTTCTAATTTGGTTTAAATCCGATCATTTGATCATGAAGAATTTAACGATAATCTTAAATTTGTATATGAGAATTGAAGGCGGTTTTGTTTTTTGCTCAAAAATTAATTGTTTTTTTTTTATTTTATTTAACTTTCCTTCAATTAAATAATAGATTTTGTTGCTTTAAAAAGAAGGATAAATTCCATTGATTTTTACAAACTTCAATTTTTATTTATATTTTTTTCTTTTTTTTCACTTCATTAAATTCTTAGAAACATATTTGTTTCTTCTTTATTAATAATTTTTTTTCTTTCTTTTTTACCTTAAGATTCTTTTAATCTATAATCTATAAATCTATAATTTTATTGTTTAAACAAAAAAAATTTAGACTGCATTTAATACTTAGGAACTTTTTAATTTCTTTTTATTTTTTTATTAATTTTTTATGTTTTTTTTCAATATCCTTTTTAGATTATATTATTAAAAAAAATAATTCTGTTTTACTTATTAACTTATTTTACTTAACATTTTTTTTTTCTTTTCTACTTTACTTTTCTTTCCGTTTTTAGATTTTATGGTTGTATAACAGAAACAAATATTTCAAATATCATTTAATTTTTGGAAACGTATTTATTTATTTTTCCTTTTTTTATTGCTTATTTAATTTTTTTGTTTTTTAATATATTTTTTCTTTTGTTTTTTGTTGTTATTGTTTTAATTTTATTTAATTAAAAAAAAAAAATTGGCTAAAAGACAAACATAGACGTTAGCAAATCTTTCAATTAGTTTTTCCAAAGACATAAAAGAGCTTTTGAAGATAGTTGCCAGAATTAACAACAGACTTTTGTCTTTCGAAAGTCTGTGGTGAGTTCAAAGACTGTCGCCAGAATTGCCCCGTTTTATAACATTACTTTTTATATTTGCTTTTGTCACGATTACGGTAGTAACGGGTGATTTTTTTGAGGTTAGGATTTTCATGCATTAGTAT